TTTCAAAAAGGTTTTGTGGCTGTAATTTAGTTTATTTCCCAAGCAAGAATATCATCAGCAGCAGTAAAGGAATGCCATTTCAGGGCATTTAGAGGTCAGATCCAGCAGGAATTTCTGGATTTTTCCTCCAAATTGAATAAAAAATGCAAAACTGGAGAATTATAAAAGACTGACACATTGAATTATTTGAAAGTTTAGAGATTAGACCATTTTAACATGGCAGAAATATACTTTTTTTAAGACTCTAATCAGACTAGTGGTTAGCTAATCAATCCTATATGTTGTAAACTCTGTTTTCCCAAACTGAGGGTTTTCAGGAACCTTTAGACTCAAACACATTTCCAAAACAGACAAACAATAATCATGTACAGCATGATTGACGTTTAAGGAAAAACAGACTCAAAAAAGCCCCAAAAGAGACAGACATTAATGTCTTTAAGCCTACCTTCATTCATCTTGAAACACGGGTTGACAGCAACAAATCATCAATACTCTTTATTTACTCTTTTCTAGAAAAATATTTTACATTAAAAAACACAGCTTGATATATACACAGTCCACTTGGTTTGCGACAACCACGGAACATCTGGACTCAAATGTATCCATCATTATTTAAAGTGTAGGTTAATATTTCAGCAGCAATAATAAATCTGCTGCGTTGTGAGAGCTGAGATGGACGTCACCTCTAGGAGCCTGGGATGCTCTAAAAGTTGTCACCTCATCAAAGAAATATGGACTCACAATAAATCCATATTGGTTACCAAAATAAACAAACAATAACCAAACCAATATGAGCTCTCATGGTGGCATGGAATACCAAACTACACTCAACAAAAATATAAACGCAACACCTTTGTTTCTGCTCCGATTTTTCATGAGATGGACTTAAAGATCTAAAATTCATTCCAGATACACAATATTACCATTTCTCTCAAACATTGTTCACAAATCAGTCTAAATGTGTGATAGTGAGCACCTGTGCTTTGCTGAGATAATCCATCCCACCTCACAGGTGTGCCATATCAATATGCTGATCTGACATCATGAGTAGTGCACAGGTGTACCTTATACTGCCCACAATAAAAGGCCACCCTGGAATGGGCAGTTTTTTTGCTTTATTGGGGGTCTGGGGACTCAGAAATGGTCAGTATCTGGTGTGACCACCATTTGCCTCATGCAGTGCAACACATCTTCTTCGCATGGAGTTTATCAGATTGTCAATTGTGGCCTGTGGAATGTTGATCCACTCCTCTTCAATGGCTGTGCGAAGTTGTTGGATATTAGTGGGAACTGGTACACGCTGTCGTATACGCCGGTCAAGCAAATCCCATACGTGCTCATCGGGTGACATGTCCGGTGAGTATGCTGGCCATGCAAGAACTGGGACATTTTCAGCTTCCAAGAATTGTGTACAGATCCTTGTAACATGGGGCCGTGCATTATCTTGCTGAAACATGAGGTGATGTTCATGGGTGTACGGCACAACAATGGGCCTCAGGATCTCATCACGGTATCTCTGTGCATTCAAAATGCCATCAATAAAATGCACCTGTGTTCTTCGTCTATAACAGATGCCTGCCCATACCATAACCCCACCACCACCATCATGGGCCACTCGATCCACAACATTGACATCAGCAAAGCGCTCACCCACACAACGCCACACACGCTGTCTGCCATCTGCCCTGAACAATGTAAACCGAGATTCATCTGTCAAGAGAACACCTCTCCAACGTGCCAGACGCCATCCAATGTGAGCATTTGCCCACTCAAGTCTGTTACGGCGACGAGCTGGAGTCAGGTCAAGACCCCGATGAGGATGACGAGCATGCAGTTGGGCTTCCCTGAGACGGTTTCTGACAGTTTGTGCAGAAATTGTTTGGTTATGCAAACCAATTGTTTCAGCAGCTGTTTGAGTGGCTGGTCTCAGACGATCTTGGAGGTGAACTTGCTGGATGTGGAGGTCCTGGGCTGGTGTGGATACACGTCATCTGCGGTTGTGAGGCCGGTTGGATGTACTGTCATTTTCTCTGAAACGCCTTTGGAGACGGCTTATGGTGGAGAAATGAACATTCAATGCACGACCAACAGATCTGGTTGACATTCCTGTTGTCAGCATGCCAATTTCATGCTCCCTCAATGCTTGTGGCATCTGTGGCATTTTGCTGTGGGACTAAACTGCACATTCCAGGGTGGCCTTTTATTGTGGGCAGTATAAGGTACACCTGTGCACTACTCATGATGTCGGATCAGCATCTTGATGTGGCACACCTGTGAGGTGGGATTGATTATCTCAGCAAAGCAGAAGCGCTCACTATCACACATTTAGACTGATTTGTGAACAATGTTTGAGAGAAATGGTAATATTGTGTTTCTGGAATGAATTTTAGATCTTTAAGTCCATCTCATGAAAAATCGGAGCAGAAACAAAGGTGTTGCATTCATATTTTTGTTGAGTGTAGCTTGTAAAGGATTTAAAGCAAGAAAAATGGTGCCAAACAACCGGAAGAGTGTTGGATTTGAACTTTCTAACATTCATTTGTCATATCCCCCCCCCCCCAAAACTCCCCAGAGTAACATTTTCACGGCTTTGTTCACCTGTCTCCCCATTTACCAGCCTAAATATCACTCGTCTACCTGTGGACATCTAGAACACCACTCATGTGTTTTCTTGCCTGGATCCCATGGGGCCTTTCACCTGTAAAACTAACCTTCCATTTGCACCACATCCCCCAGGTGCTTTGTGCTCACCTGCAAATGCAGCTGCTGCCATGTCAGTCAACGCTGTGTCTCGCTACACTGACTTCAAGTGTCACTCTTCACCCTGATTTTAGTCTATATTGGGCTCAATGACAATCCCGACCTCTTCCTTTGGGAACAGTTGACCTAAATTTTATCCGTGGCCATATGTGATATTTGCAGTAGTCCACCTAAAACCCCAGCAGAACAATCTACTGAGAAGCTGTTTGCTTTCCAACCTCTGCTCCGAGCAACAGCGTGACATTTTAATAAATGTTTTCCATCTATCCCAGGTACCTAAGATCTGACTGGCAGCTAATAAAAGAATGTAACATAGTTTTTTTGTTGTTGCAGTTTTACAACAAGTAATGCGTGTGAAGACTGACTAATAATCCCTGGCTCCTTTGTCTCAGTGTTATTTAGGAGTATTCACAGTCATGGTCTTTGTTTCTTCTTCACTGATGGACCTAAATGTTTGGAGTTATTTTTTATGTGACATATGAGAGTTGACACTGTGAACCTATAAGTTAAAGAAGCTGCCAAATGAAAGAAAACAAGGTATTAAACTAAGTAAAACCAACAAAACTGGAATGATGATTTGGGACAAATAAAGCATTTTGTTAAATAGCATAAAAAGTGTGTAAAATAAAGAGCTAATGGTGGGGACTAAAACTGTCCAAGGCCAGATAGGGAAATGAGATTGACACAACATAATGTATTTTTAACACAATATTTGTGCTAAAATAAAATGAAACAACTCAGGACACACAAATGTCAAATCATCATTTTGAAAGAATGAAACTTTTCTTAATATCCTAAAAATGTTCTGGGAAAGAATTCTTGCAACTCACAGCAGTCACAAAGCTGTGAGGTACTGGCCTAAGCCAAAATACTTTTGCTTCCAATCCGATTCCGAGTCCGATACTTTTCAGGAAAGCGTTATAATACGAAGGGAAACTTTTTCACTTGTGTAGGATGTACACTGATTAAAACTGTGTTTATATATTGAACATATGTAAAAGTAGCTACGTTGTTCAAATTTCAAGTTGTTGAGTGATGCATGTTCCCATAACAAGGCAGGCACACAGAGCCTCGGTAATCGGTAGGCAGGCTAAATTTTCCCTGAAAAACACCTGTAGCTACTGGGGCATCTTGGGTGCTGCAGCAGACTTAACAAACCCCGATGATTTGCAGACTGTTGGTAATTTCTCTTTGTTGATTATCGTAGTTTTCTCAGTCAGCTGGCTCTGTGTTTTTGTCTGAGTTCACAGTGAACTGAGACTGTCAGTGGAAATGTGGGAATTAATGGAAGCCAGTGAATGGCTTTGTTGATGTCCGAAGGGAAAAGTCAAATGCAAAAGTAGTCTGTTGTGAAAGCAGCGAATCATGGAGCTGTGTCCCTCCTTGGACATTGAATACCCAGTATGCACACATTACAAGTGACTGTAGCTCTGACTTTGCTGTCCAGTTTAAAATACACGTTTGCTCTATGTTAGCCTGTTTGCTAACAGCTACATCTTGGTGTCTGAATCCCTGCCTGCTGTAAATTGTGTGACAATACTGTGTTGTTTTTGTATAAGAAACAAATAATATTGATGTAGAGGAACTTATTGAAAAAAAAAATTCTAAGCCATTGTTCATCCATCTGAAAATCTCGATCTCAGGCAGCTTTTAAAAAGTCATGAGTGATTTTTAAAAGGTAAATCTGAGCTTTTTCACCCGATTCTGATCTTTCTTAAATCACACTATTGGACGAAAGCATCCCTATTTCTAGGTAATTAGTAGGGTTGGGCATCATTTTCATTTTGAACGATTCCCGTTCCAATTCCAGTTCCTTGTTTGGATTCTGGCTCCTTGCAATTCTTAATTCTGATTCTTTCAGGAGGCGGATTCAAAAACGTTTCATGCTGAGCCAGCTAACCATAGGTCTGTCTTGATGAAATAGTCGGAACTTCTCCATTAATTTTACTTATCTAAACTTTTTAACCTTCTGGAGGCAAGCATTGCAGATTTGCAACGTTAAAACCTACCTACCTGGTTACTCCACATATGTATTTCATGAGCATTTTTTAACTCAGAAGTACCTCTGAAGGACTTCGTTGTTCATCCTTTTATCAAAACTAATTTTGAGCCTGAGAGGGTTAAAATGAATCCAAACTTTAGAATTCAGTAAAGCAAAAACTTTCAGCAAATTCTTCTTCGTTGGTATTCAACGGCTTGTTCTTCCAGTTGGCGAACTCGGTATCACAACTAGGAATCGGAATAAAAAAATTTCAACGACTCTGGGAAAACTGAAAATGAGTCCCGGTTCCAATCGACGCTCGATACTTAACTCTATAAATAAATAGTTATTTCCAAAAATGTCTTTAAGCCTTTAAGTGAATACTCTTAAATCCAAACAGAGTCTAATTAACAAGCTCATATTCATATAACTGAATATGTTTGAGGAAACAGCTAATAAGTAGTCAGCCCTACCAATGAACATGAGACCGTTTACATATATAAGAGTTAAACCAAAGTTTGTAAAACTGGCTGAACTGGCCTTTTAAATGATTAAAACAACATTACAAATAAATAATACCCCCCCCAGTCCAAAGTTCAAACAGAAGAAAAAGCCCTGTAATTATATAAACTAATTCTTTCAGTTTGTTTTGGCTGAGCAGTCAGTGGCCCTTCATTCAAAAAGTCCTTCTCCAGAACCATTATAGCAGTTCAGAGCAGAGGGTCAGTAACAGCGTCCAGAAAGGAGTCAGAAGCCAGGTGGGGGACGTGGAGAGATGTGTCCCCAAAGGTGAGGCTGTGTCTGAGGTGCAGGAGCACACTTCAAACCCGTTCTCCGCGTGGTCCGGGTGGTGATGCTCGTTGACCCTCGTCTCCGTGCTTTTGGTTTCTGAGTCCGGAGAGTCCGACTGCATCTCAGTGCAGTGCAGCCAGTCCTTGGCGATGAGGCGGGGATATCCTGCCTCCACCTCCATGTCGCTGCCAGGCACTCGCCAGTACTCCTTCCCCTTGAAGAAATAGGACGAGCCTTCGGAGACAGAGACAGCTGAGTATCATTTTGTGTGTTAGACAAAGCAAAGAAACAACAAACTTCACATTAGGTGGAAACTTTTCTCCTGCTTTAGTGCTGACTAAACAGCATTTTCCATATTAAAACTCCAGTGGGCAGGATTTCTGAGGCATTGTTAGTGAGCCTCACAGAAAGGCGAGGGAAAAAATGACCCCAAAATGAGTGTTAACAACATTATAAGCTGATTTGGGGCAAAAAAAATCTGAAAAGTAATGAGAGGAAAATGGCCATTATCCCAAGAAGGAAATGTGCTTGTTAGCTCAGTGTACATAATGAGCTATTAGCATGAGCAATGTGTTTGTGGACCTGGATGAAGGCTGTGAGGTTCTGCACACAATATACAGGGATAAAATCCCATTCTTCTATAAGACGGCTCACTCCGGCGCTGGATGTGTGTTTGGGGCTTTTTAATGAACGCCACTAATGAAGTCGGTCTCTGTTTGACATTTGTTTGGAATTCCAGTAAGGGACTCGGTGACAACTGAAAGAAGAGCTGACTAATTGGTTTGAGGGGAAATTTAACTTCTTTGTCATGCTCATAATATCTTCGTCTTACAGAGTTCCTCTCCATGATGCTGCACCAATCAATAAGACCAATTAAATCCAATATCTACAAAGTTTACAGAATCACAGCTGAGATTCGTGGGATTTTTTTTTTTTTAGATATTCTTGATGATTTTTTAACTTTTACAGTAAAATGATGTGTTGCTAATAGGTCCTTCTATAAATGTAGGACTTCACACCAACTTCTGTTGTACTTGGCCTGTTTTTTCTCACATCACAGAACTTGGAGACGAGCTGAAGATAAATCAGAGATAGGCCTGACCTGAAAATAAACTTCCACCCGTTTGACGAGGTGTTGATGCATGGAATCAAAGGGATGCTGCTTCCTTCTCCTGAGAGTTTCCTGAAATTAGGACTGAAAACTTCCTGCAAAATAGCTAATTTTATACATGTTTATCCAGCTATGAGTGTTTTATCAGAGCTTAATCAGACACACTCTCCTCCTCTCCACTTGAACAGTTTCAGCTGCACTCAAAGTGGGAAAGAGACTTTACTTGATTATAAATCAGCCTCAATAATGGAACCATTACTTTAAAATCATTAAACTTGTGTCTTAACACCCTCTACCCAAAGTTTGCAGCAACAACAAAAGTTGGTTTGTTTCTTAAGAAACATCCACCATAACACATCTCTAGTGGGTCAAAAAACATAATTAATACACTGCCTAAAGGTACATATTAGATAATTACTGCATGGGTGATTATCTTTCAGCTGGCAACAAATGGTGCACTGAGTTGCGTCTCATTTCTTAAACAACCATGTGGAAAGACACATCTGGTGGTTGTGGAAAAGATGTTAGTCTGTTTGAGAAGGGTCACATCGTTGGCATGAACCAAGCAGAGAAAACATCTAAAGAGATTGCAGAAACGATTCAGAACTGTCCAACGCATTATTAAATACTGGAAGGATAGTGGAGACCCATCATCTTCGAGGAAGAAATGTGGCCTGAAAAAAATCCCGAATGATCGTTATTGGCGATCACTTAAACAATCGCTGTAATCAAATCAAAGAAAAACAATAGTAGAACTCAAGGCTACGTTTGAAAGTGAAAGTAAGAATATTTCCACACCCACAAAATGAAGAGAGCTCAAGGGATTGGGATTGAACAGATGTGTAGCCGTATGAAAACCACTAATCAGTGAAGTAAACTGGAAAAAAGGCTTCAATTTGCTAGGGAGCAAAACGGTTGGACTCTGGAGCGATGGAAGAAGGTCATGTGATCAGATGAGTCCAGATGGACCCTGTTCCAGAGTGATCGTGCATCAGGGTAAGAAGAGAGGCAGATGAAGTGATGCACCCATCATGCCTAGTGCGTACTGTACAAGCCTGTGGAGGCAGTGCTATGATCTGGGGTTGCTGCAGTTGATCAGGTCTAGGTTCAGCAGCAGGAAGTGCTCCAAGAATGAGGGCAGCTTACTACTTGAATATCCTGAATGACCAGGTTATTCCAAGATGACAATGCCAGGATTCATCAGGCTCAGATAGTGAAAGCGTGGTTCAGGGAGCATGAGACATCATTTTCACACATGATTGGCCACAACAGAGTCCAGACCTTAACCTCATTGAGTATCTTTGGGATGTGCTGGAGAAGACTTTGAGCAGCAGTCAGACTCTACCATCATCAATGCAAGACCTTGGTGAAACATTAATGCAACACTGGATGGAGATACATCTTGTGACATTGCAGAAGCTTATGGAAACAACGCCACAGCGAATGTGTGTCGTAACCACAGCCAACGGAGGTCCAGCAAATTATTACTGTGACCTTTTTTTTAATTTCAGTTCTACTTTTTTAGGCCGTGTTTTTACTATGTTTATATAAACTGACAGGGAGACAACTAACCTCCTGGTCACCTTACATTGGAAGTTCTCCATTCATGTCCTACTGAAGGTAAACCCCAGGGCAGACCCAGGACTTATAATTCGTCTCTAGTGTTGGAATGCATTAAACGGAATGTCTGATTTTCTTCCTGAAAACGCTTCCCCAACAATCCAGCACCTGATCAGCAGAAAAAAATGGATGGATGGTTTCTGATCAATTTTTTGAATGAATATTCTTATTAAATACTTCGTAAACAATGCCTTCACTTCAGGAACCTGACTCACTATTAGTAACAGAAGGTAACCTTTTACTCCAGCATCTAGGGACTGATTCCAGTGTCAGATCAAATGTCAGGATCAGTCAAATATGAAAGTTTTACAACGCAGTGGAACTCTGGAACAGCCGCTCACACGCATGCTTCCCATTTAATGCTATAAAATGGGGCTCATCCATTTATTTGTCAATGATTTATATCATAGTATTTGTTTTTATATCTCCTTCAGGCACAAGCTGCATTTTGTCACTATCCACCATTATGTGCCTCTTAAACTCTTTTTACCAGCTCTGTAAACGGACGTTTGCAGCTTGCACCAAGTTCCCCGACCGCTTAGTGAGATTTTCTTGCTCTGACTCATGTTCCATTGAGTTTGTTACAATCTCATGAAAACCCAGTTCTTACATAGCATCTGTGTGCAAAATAATAATATATTACAACTTCTTGAGGAAAACTGAACATTTTTATTGCTCTGAATTTTCTCTTTTTGATGATTTTTTTAAATTTATTGGAACTTATTTTGAACAGCTTAATAAAATCTAATCATTGTGAGATATGCAAAGCAAATGCCACAGATAATTACATGGGACACACACACACACACACACACACACACACACACACACACACACACACACACACACACACACACACCCACACACCCACACACCCACACACCCACACACCCACACACACACACACACACACACACACACACACACACACACACACACACACACACCAACTGCCTGAGTTTTATAGAAGGTACACAACGTTTTATAGGAGGGATAAGAACAGAATGTTTTACAGGTATAGATTCACATACTCTGTAAACATTCCTGACACGGCAGACTCGAGCGTGACGGGCTCAGTAATGATCGAATTGCCTCACTTCCTACCATAAAGCTCGACACCTTTAGAGAACCAGGAGTGTTTAGGAACGAGGGAGAGGAGAGATATACGGGCATGAAGGAGAGAGACAAAATAACCACCCAAACAAGAATTTAAAGGCAACACTTGTGATGCACATTAGCATCTGCAAGACTTTCTGTAATTCACGACCATTTTTTAAATGGTGAAACAGACAAATAAAAGCTCATTTTTGTTATATTTTGTGAAAAGCTCCAGATGGATTTGCTTCTCACAATCCTCACACACTTCCTCAGGCACAATACGGACCACCTCTGACTCGATAAATAAAAGGTCACAATAGGCTGATTGATGCTTGAGGGGGGCCATCAGTTGTTGGTAACGACCTTTGCTAGAAACAGTCAACCACTCTGTCAGTAGTTGATCATATATCATAAAAACTATAAACCAATTTGTGGTAATTATGGTGGAAAACAATACATCTGTCATCCATCTGGTGGTGAGACGGCCTCTGTGGTTTGTTTTTTTAGAAACTTCACAGACAATTATCATATTCTGGAACCAGCTTAATTGTACACAACAAGAAGGCAGCACCTGTGATGCCACCGTGAAACGTTTTTCATGCTGAATAGTTCAGTGACAACAGATGAGCGTAGAAAACAACAGAGTCGTGGCTTCGGCTAGCAGTCAGCCGTAAAACTGCAGGCTGCAGTCTGAGTGATGATGGTGCTCACACAGCAAAGTCTCTCAGAGCAAACACAGCCTGGAAGATGGATAAAACGCTCCTGCAAAAGTAGCTACCCCCTGAATATAGAAAATAAGGACAATTTCAAACAGCTACTGTACCAAGGCTGTCAGAGAAATTCAACAACAACTATTCTTGTCATCTTTTTGCATGTTAGAACAACATTCTAATGTCTCTTTTTGTGTTAAGCTGGAGATTTATTTGCATCAATAACATCCAGTAACAAAAGAATACAAAGCAAATGGCATACTCAGTACATGTTGTTGATGTTAGACGATAATGTGAAGGCTGATTTGAGACAGACAGAAGGGCAACAGTTCCACCTCCGGTCTGCAGAACAGCATCTCTGATCCATAACATGTTGAACTTTGAAGCAGATGGTCTGTCTCATCAGCAGAAGACCACTCCTTTTCAGCTGAAAACAGGAAACTGAAAGGATCACCAGAACTGTGCTCCTTGCATATTACTTTAATATTGTTTGAATTACTAATCTACCTTGAGTAAAGGTGTTGTAAAAGTCACTTTTCTAACCTTTTCCAAATATATTTGTTTTGTTTTTGATTGCAACTGTGGCAATCCAATCTCTTATTTTTGTTCAGAATAAATAAACCAATTAAAAAATAATGTTTTAAAGAGTAACTAAGCCCCACAATAACTTTTTTTGCTTATAAACTGTATAATTGGATCTTTACAAATGCAATCTTTCTGTTTCTGTGCATTTTTTTTTACATGTTTGTGTAAACTTGATTAAATCTAGAATCTAGGTCTAAAAAAAGTCTTAGTGCTGCCCCCTGTGGCAGAACAGCAGCTACTGCATTTAAAATTTGTGATTGACTGGGGCTGGTACAGTCTCCTCTCTCTCCCCCTCCCTACCGGGATGGAAATTCCCCACACTTGGCCATGCCACTCTGTGCCTCCTGGCAACGCCCACTTTCATAGCATTTTCCAAATCTTGGGGTGGAGTTACGTTTTCTGATGGTGTGCAGTCCCTCTTTAATTATGATGTGCAATGCCCCCAACATGTGCTGTGGAAAACAACATGACACCAAATTCTAGCTCAGTATCAATAAACATGACTGAGCTGTGGCCATATTTGAGTTTAAGAAGTGTTCATTGGCTGTGGAGGCTATCTTGAAATGGAATGACTGCAACTTTGACTCTGATTGTGCTGATTAAAGAGTTTGATGGTGGCAGTAGTAAAAACTAAAGCCGACTTGAGATCTGAATGCATTCCTGTCTTAAAAAGAAGTCAGATGAAACTTTCACACCTGGTGCAGCATGGAGGGGACATTATTTTTACGCTGGCGCAATAAGCGATAGATCAGTAGGAACAAGTCAGAATGGACCACTTTTAGTCACCCTCGGGTGCTGGTGGAGGCAATGACTCGCTTCAACACTATTGTACAGGCGGCAAGCGGGCTTGGGTTTATTATCCCATTTACTGAAGATGTTGACAATCACAATTATGCAGGTTCCAGAATAGCGATATCTTGTCAAGGTAATGAAAATGATGAAAATTACAACGGCAAATTAGTTATGGAATGAAACCAAATGAAGCGGTAAAAATTGTGTGACCTCCCGTCAACCAAAAACGCCAGTGCACTGCCACCCTGACACCTATATAGGCTCCACAGTGACACCAGTGGTCAAAAGAAATATAAACCAGAGTGCAATAAACTGAAATATATATGAGACATTATCAAAACGAACTTAGACCATAATATAATGTAAACCAAAACAATATTGGCTCCTACAGACTGATTTGGGTGAACAGGTCAAAGCTGAAGAAATGCTGACCTCCTTGATTAGACTGGGGAACTTGTCACCTTGTATTAGCCATTGCTTTGAAATATATGCTCCCTGTGAGCCCACCACGCTCAACAGGGCCAACTTGTGCATTCATGACGGCCGACACAGCTCTCCACTGTTTACCATGTAAAGGTCAAATGCGTTATGATAGACTGACCAAGTGTCTGTAATTGGAAAAGTTTGGGGTCTTTAAAGCTGAGCAGCTAGCTTATAAAAGGTCTCTAATGCCAGACTCAACACCTCTTCCAAGACAACAGAAGGCTTTGTATAGTTATCTGATGTGTGTGTGTGTGTGTGTGTGTGTGTGTGTGTGTGTGTGTGTGTGTGTGTGTGTGCATGTAGTATCCTGCTTTATGCATTGTTTTTCATCTGGATATTTTACAAATACACCCTTGCATACATAAAAGAACATTGATATTATTTGTCAAAAAAGTAAAATGTCATCTGTAACACAAAGCGTGAGCTTGGCTTGGATTTAATTTTAAGACAACTACCACTACAATATGAAGCTAAAATATATGTCTTCATCAAAATCATTAATGTTGTATTCAATAGTTTATTAAAGCTTAGTAACACACTAAGTAATGTTAAAGGGGCCATATCATAGAAAATCCACTTTTTGAGCTTTTTACAATGTGATATTTTTATTTCCTCATGAACCAACCCCCAAACCAGATTTTGGCTGCATTTATGAATTTTCCTGAAAATGCCTGAATGAAAACTACTACTACATCAGTCATTTCTCCTTTCCCTGTCGCTGGTGGTCTCAGTTCTGAAACCTGGATATTCTGTGGATATTATGACAAATTACTTCTGCATCAGGAACAAAACACAGCTGAAAGAACCATGCTGCCTGTCTACAATGGTGCATGTAATGACCAGCTCAGAATATGTATGTTAAGCACAGAGGGGCCATGGCCACCCCTAGAAAATTGCTGGCCCCCCAGGAAAGACCAGTGTTAATAAATCATATTAATGTTCAATCAAACTATAAATTCATCTTATTTTTCAATAAATGAATGTAAAACACAATAAAAGATATACACAATTATTAAGTACAGAAATAATCAGAATAAAAAAATTATAAGTTTCTGCTGCTCACTATTAAAAAAGTTTATATCTCCATAGTTCTTCGTGAAGACAGCGACAGGTGAACTAAACTGAAATACAAAATTCTAAAATATATTTTTAAATAACATAAAAAACTGAAATGTATTTTTCTGAAATGTATGTGTTTCTCAAATGTGTAATTAAGTGTTTGGGATATAAATTGTTCTTTTTTTATTGAAAAAGAATAAAAGAACAATGCAATGCATCTCCACAGGGTAAACTCTCCCAGAGTTACCAAATGGACCAATTTGGTGTGCCACCCCAACATTTTCTTTGGCGCTGTGAGGCCAACCTTATGAAAAATGTCTGGGGGTGCCCCTGGTTAGGCAACTATTGTTCTGTAACAGACTCAGTAGTCCAGTGGTTAGAGTCCCAGGCTGGCACGTAGTTCTTCCCCATTTGATGGCCACATTTATTTGTAAATGTGTTCTCTGCATCAATTTACAGACTAGCATGCAAAAGGTCTTTACTTCATTATGTTTATATGTGTTTGCGATTTACTTGTTTTATTTTTATCCCTCCCAAAGTTGACTCATATTCCCTGCAACAAACCGAGAAGCTAATGAAAACGGTTTAAGGTTTAGTTATGCATCATTCGGAGCCAGAGTTTGGGTTTCAAAGGTTTTCAACACGTTCAAACTTCCACAGACAAAAACGAGACTCAAAATGAGAACTATTGCTCATGTTTACAGATATTTTGCAACCTCTTTCATTAATGCTGTTAATGTTTTACTGTTTCAGCCAGCGGCGCTACTGGACTAGATAGAAATCAAACACACTGGATAAACTGATGAACTTTAGTCTGAGCACCTTTGTAAAAGCTGAAAAATGAGCTGAGCGGGGTGTGGGACAGCTTTTTTTATCTCCCCAAAACCCGAGTCAAACATTTTTAGAACAAATCGACATTAAGAAAAATGAAAAAAAATTCTCACCATCAGACCATCTCATGGCGTCATCCAGCTGTAGCGGCAGCCCCTTCCAAAGCATGGTGTCTTTAGGAAACCCCAAGTCCATCCGTCTGAAGTGGTCATCATAGCGCCAGTAGTTGTTATCTTTAAAGAAGTAGGTTTTGTCATTGTGGAGCCAAACAAAAGCTGCGTCCACTCCATCCACTGGCAGTCCAAAGTCACTGATTGGACGAGGATAACCTTCCTCTACATTATTGTCTTTGAACACCCAGTACTTCTGACCTAATTAAATGAGCAAACAAAAACAACATTAAAAACAAAACATAGAGCTTACGTAAACCAAATACCTAAAACGTGATTTTCACCTTTAAAAAATACAATTTTGTGGTCTCCTGGCCTCTCGTACACGGCATCCACACTATCCAAGTTAGGAGGAAGGCCTCTCCAGAAGCGATGGATCTGAGCAGGACGAAGGGACACCAGGTGCTTTTCTCGCGTTAGTCTCCAAAAGTGTTTCCCTGCAGGAAGTGAATTAGAGATTTTGCACAACATGAAGTTAGAAGAAAAGCTTTTACTTTCAACATCTTCTCCTCAGTTCTGTCTTCGTCCATTTATTTGTCTCTTGTTCATCTGTATCCCTAACCCCAACCCCAACCTATTTACATCAAACATCAGTAGTTTGTGTTTTCCTAACACTTCATTCCAGCGGAACAATCACAGCTCCCGATGAGGTCTGTAAGGAACGATGCTTCAGTCTACAGGAATCATTTTGTAATGCTGCACCTTAGCAGATTACCTCAAGAAAATAAAAAAAAATAAGCTAGCAAGTTGCTGATGATAGCGAAATCAAACAGACTTTTCATTAACTTTGAGCAAAACTACAACATGATTCTGATTAAATGGTTCAAAAGTCACAAACTAAACACTTAAAATAATACAAGCTGATTAAAAAACATAATTGGTATCATGGCTGACTTTGGTTCATTCATATGATTTTCCCAGACACATTTCCAGGTGAGTGGCGTGGTAGGAATAATGGGCTCCCATTGGCCAACTGATATGCAAGAGGAAAACCGTAAAAGTGCAAATCGGTAACTGTGTTTTCTTTTTAGAGTGATCCATGTTCACAGTAATAAGCCTAATTAATCAGATGTAGAAACTTGAACCAGTGCAGAAGAATAAATGTAGAAGTTTTGGCAATGTTTCAGAACATGAGCAACAGCGTTAAGATGTGAAAGAAGTAGCCTAATGAGCTGAGAGAACTCTGAAGGGAATGAGGTCAGTGACTTTTATTATGACAGGAAAACAGGACGTTTGAAGCATTCCTCTAGCAGAGCTGTGACCTGGAGATGGTCTCCTGCTCTGCAAACAGTTGCTTCTTCCAAATTTGTTTTTCCTCTTGTTCAAGATGCAAAGACATGACAGCAAACGCGAGTCTCCCGACTATCGGAGCAAGCTGAAATAAATGACTTGTTTCTGAGAGATTAATCCAGAAAATGGGATCGCTCTGCCACTGCTTCTGACTGTAATACGCTCCTGTCTCAGATTCCCTCAACTCTTTTATGTGTCTCAGCTGAAGAAGGTTTGCGTCCCCTGAGTTCCTCTTTCTGCTCCCACTCCACCCAGCATTTGGGACAGTCGGCGGCCCTATCAGTAGCCTTCTGGGGGGAGTGGGGAACTCATAGCTCTCACATCGGATCCAATATCCCTTCCTTGGAGATTTTTGTTCTCAAAACCCTGATATCTTGGACCAAGGGGAGCCCGTTGGAAGGGGGGCAGCGTTGTGTCTGCCAGGTTCTTGCTCCCCTCACCAGGGATTTGGCTCTTTTCTTATTTTCCCTCCTGCTTTATTTTCACATACAGACCAGGTGTGAGTGATGGGCTTTACCTGAAAGTCAGATTTTATCAGACTACACACTCATGGTGGTCTCCTTCTGTAACATGCTGCCAGAGCAGTGACTCAGCACCTCAGTTCCGTTCCAGCTCATATTAGTAATTGTTTGGGAAGGACGTTGTTGGTTTAGTGTCCAGGAAATAGCAGATAACGGCCATTTCTCTCTCTCTCTCTCTCTCTTCCCCCCGGTGTCCTGTCTGGCTGTGAAGCAAACAGAACTGATGTCTGAATGCTGGTGACAAGTCTTACAGATTTACTCTCAGGTGGAGCATCAGCTTGCCATGATGTACACGTTTAGGATTGGAACAGTCCTTGGGCCATCGTTGATCACGTTTCACAAGGAGGTGAGTACACAAGTTCAGATAAGTACGTACATTGAGAAACGGCCCGTGTATCGGCTAGTAGAAGCTAACTGTTAGCATTGCAACTCCAAAACATAGCAGAACTCCTTTAGACTTCTTATTTGTGGAGATAAAACATCCACGTTGGAAAGCAAACAGAGTCATTGGTAGAGTCGTGGTTCTGTTAGCCAATCAGAGATGAGATGTCCAAATATCAGAAGTAAGACTCCAAATCCTGAAACAGGTGCACCGGGGCTTTATGTATCCAGAGTACAACTCACAAGGCATTCATTCCTACTAGAGACCACTGCAAATTTAATAATTGAACAAGTGAACCACACCTTTCAATACTGACATCACCATTTAAAGAGAGACTAGGCAGTTTGACTTGCTTTTAGCACCCCCCCAGTGTTCGTTTGTACAACACAGCGATGACCCCCACTGTCTCTATGGGTGACCCCGCGAGGCCTTCCTTTGTGTCTACAGAAGGGACTCATCACTAAATTAAACAAATCAGCTCTGTTCATGATCTAAAACATGCAGGAGACATGCTGGAACCAGACTGCAGCACCAGGTATGTCAGCTCCATCTTTTTCTAATTCCAACAGACCAGACCGACAACTCTGATGCTGCAAGTGGAATATTCTGGGTAGCCTTTCATTAACCCTGTAAAGAGTAATTTTATCACATACTGGCTCAAGAAAATGACTGAAAATATGAAAACATTGCAAAGTATCCCTTTAATAGGAACAGTAGAAGGTGGAAGACATCTTTGTTTCTAGTAAATCCTGTTACTGGTTTAAAACAATTGTTATTGAAATAAAAACTTTTTATAAGCAAATATATAACCCAAAGAAAAAAATGTCAATTATTGTAAAATTCAGAGCATGTTGTTGCTCCCTGAACATTATGTAGCTCAGTTTCTCCTATAAGGTTTAATCACCTTTGAAAAAGAAGGCCTCTCCTCGTATTTGGGCCACAGCATCAAAGTGACTGGTACATCTGTCCAGAGCATCCTGCGCCACTCTGAGAGTTGGAGAAAAGAAATTCACAGTCAGATGGAAGAAGACGTTGCATTTCTTATAATGAAAAAATAAATCCATTTTTAATATAGACTTTTTGAGACATTATTTACTTCCATCCATGCAGCCATCTATCCTTCCATTTGTATCTGCTCATCCAGGTTCGGGTTGCGGGGGCAGCAGCCCAAGCAGAGAGGCCCAGTCACTTGGGCCAGCTCCTCAAGAGGAATCCCAAGGCATTCCCTGGCCAGCTGAGAGACATGTGGAGGAGCAACGGGTCTACTCCGAGTCTCTCCTGGATGACAGAGCTTCTCACCCTATCTCTAATGGAGAGCCCAGACACTTGTATCTGTATCCACGATCCTTTTCTTTTGGTCAATACCCAAAGCTCGTGACCATGAGTGAGGGTAGGAACGTAAACTCAGCTGTCTCTTCACCACGACAGATCGGTACAATACCCACAACATGCAGAGTTCAATCTCACTGGGAACAAACTCGACTTACTGCCGGCAATGCGGACCAAGCTCTGGCACCGGTCATATAAGGACCTAACAGCCCGTATCAAAGGGCCTGGTGCCCCATACTCCTAAAGTTCTCCCTACTGGGCCCCCCAAGAGATGGGGTCGAATGCCTTTTCCAAATCCTTATAACCAGGTGTGCACATAAGTGGTCCGCAGGTGCGCATGCGCTATCAAAATAAACAATGCGCAAATGAAATAAAGCTGTAGCACGCATTTGCGCACCTAAGATTTTGTGGAGGAAGAAAGACATTTCTGGAGCATTTTAAAGATGTCCAAGAAGCAAGCTCCATTAAGAAATTATTTTGGTGTTCCTCCGCCTCCAAAAAAACGTCAGACTGAGTCGGAACCGCAAAAGAAAAGAGTATTTGTGGAGAAGTGGCTGCAGGAGGTCGGCTGGCTTCAAACAAACGATGAACGCACAGAGATGTGGTGCAGATTATGCCGTGAAAATCCCACCCTGGCAGACAAAAACAGCGCCTTTTACATAGGCACTAAAAACTTCAATCATCCAGCGTTTGATAAACATACTAACAGCAGAGAACATCAGAAAGTTGTCCTCTGCTGTATGTGAACTGGAGGAAGCCAGTCAGGATAGTGAGGATGATGATGAGGATGATGGGAGTCTGTAGAAATAAAAACGGCATTTATGCCATTTTAAAAACTTCAGTGCTCTGAAATAGTAATTTTGTTAAGTGCTTTTTAATTCATTTCATTTGATTTTTGACATCACACAAGCAGCTGTTTACACATTGTGTTTTACATTCAGACAATTCAGTCAAGTTATTTGAAAATTAGAAGGTTTAAGTTAAGCTGGCAATATGTACCTGTTGTACTTATTGTTTTCAGTCAAAATTAAAATGTGTTGCATCATCAACGCGCTACTCTGTTTTGTTCTTATTGTGAGTTGGGTTAAGAATTAAGTGCATTAAAAAATGTGAGGACCAAGCAACAACCATAGGTTCTCCCCTGAGTACCAACCCAAAACTATTATGTGCACCCCTGCTTATAACACATGGAGATTGGTTTAGCGAACCCCCCCCCCCACCTCCCGGAAAAAGGGTAAATAGCTATAGAATGTGTTCTCTTTCTTTTCTAAAATCACCAGCTGTGTTTAGAAATGCTTTTGAACCGTCAAAAAAACTGGATTTCTTTTCCATCTTGCCTCCTGAGTTAACTCTCATCCTGCAGCATGTACACTGAACTTTAATTTTCACCAACGAGTTTGCCTACTCAGTTGTAAACATGCCATAAATTATTTTAGGAGACGTTGTTGTCTCGCACAAATGGGCAAAACACACTCTGTAAAAAAAGCTCTTTGTATTCAAAACCACACCTTTTCTTGACTTTCCAGGATTATTGTGGTTAAGACTGTCAAACCCCTTTTCATTATTCATAATTGATTCATTAATAGTTTGTGAGCAAAAGTTTTACTAGAGTTGCAAATGCATCTTTTTTCAGTATTAAACAAGGTTAATTAAATGGGGGACAATTACATTCTTTTGTTTAATGGCCTTTAGTTATTTGCATATAAGTGCTTATGATCAAGGGCGCAGATAGGATTTTCAAACTGGGGGGGGACAAAGTTCCAATGTACCCTCGCCCAAACACACACACACACACACACACACACACACACACACACACACACACACACACACACACACACACACACACACACACACAAACACACACACACACACACACACACACGCACGTACACACACACACACACACACGTACACACACACACACAAACTATTGCAAGAGCCTTGACTAGAGCTCAGTGAGTTTGTGTAATTTCATCCAATGGTTTACGTAAAAACTAACACTTTTATATACGTGTTTGAAGTCATTGTGCAATGGAACGCGGGCTACAAAGCTCTGCCTCATCAACACTATCCAAATCAGTCATTTGTTATTCTCCCAATATATTACGAACCAAAACCTCATGCTTTATGCAAAACATGTTTTATTTAAACATTAACTGATTTTCAGCATACCAATCTTTACAGAAAACATAAAAGCCCACGTAAAAAAACAGCACATAAAATCTATTTAAAAAACGATATTCACGTATCACTTAGAGCAGTGGTTCCCAAACTTTTCAGCCTGACCAACAGATGTTCCTTCGTATTTTTATGTTATTTAGAAATTTTCATTATATTTGGAAAGTTTTTATATATAAATATATAAATCTATTTTTAAATTTTATATTTACTATGAATTTTATGATTATGTGGAAAACTTTGACTTCCATATGTAACGCATCTGCCCTTTTTTACGTTTTACCTTGGCCCCCCAAATGCCTTGAAACAGCCCTGGGTGTGTGACTGAGTTTTGAAGGTGATCTGAATTGTATTAGATGTATAAATATTACCTGTGTATAACTTATTGTTTTAAAAAATGTGTAGTGGAGATACATCTACATACATTTGACTTTCAAGCTTTGGTTTCTTGTTTTCATGTAACTATTTTCCTGTCCTGTCCGTTTCTCATCTTCCTGCATCTCCTCTAAACTCTCCAGCGAAACTGCTGCATGAATTCTTACTTTTTCACCTCATCAGTTACTTTTGAGCAGCTCAAAGGATCTCCTGACCGCAAAGCGGAGTGCGCGTTTGATGCTGCGTCGGTGAGGTGAAATCCCCGCAGCGCACGATGAGAGGAGCGCGTCAGGAACGATTAAAATACAGAGTACCTGAGGATTAAACATATATGAACGATCATGTGTTAATAATGACGTTTTGTTGGGCCACCTTGAGAATGTATCGTGCGCCGGACGCACCAACGATCAGCGGTCTGCAACAGAATCCCGCTGCGCTTAAGCGTCCATAAATACTGTAATATAGGTAGAAACTGGATATTTCTCTGAAAGATAACTAGCCCCCATAACTCAATCCCTGCTCCTGGATGAAAAACCGGACATTTTTGATCAATGTAGCACCCCCCCCCCCAGGACAGAAAGTGAAAAGTGGACATGTCCGGGTGAAAGAGGACGTATGGTTACCCTTATCTAATATTTGTGCTCTTCATGCTGTGCACATCTCCTCTTCTCCCCAACTGGGAGCCTCTCGGCGGGAGGCGTTTTTCAAGCTCTAAAAACTCCCAAACTTTGCTCAGCCTGAAAATTACACATCTCCACTATCTCCTGGTGTAAGGTAGTAACTTCATGAGGGATCGTATTTGTAGATGAGACTTGTTAAAGTCAGCAATGAGGCTTTGGCACTTATAACGAGTAAGTCCCAACACTGACAATAATGTACTGAAACTAGAACCAACATGCATAAACAGACAGATCGGTCCTGCCTACTTACACTGTTGGTCTTTTTTAAAAACGCAGTAATTGTTGTTCGTCTTTTTGCTTCATCCTGCATCCTAGCAGCAACCACTTTGGCGCCTCTGGAGTTGGTGTTTGTTTACGTCATGCTGCATTCAATGCAATTGGAAAAAGGAGCTTCAAGCGCTTAACCTCCGATTTTGTTTTCTTTCTGGCTTTAGTGCAGGGGATGGATCGGGGTCAATCTGAAACTGGGGGGGGGGGGGGGGGGGGGGGGGGGAGAGATCCCCCCCGTCCCCACCCTGTTTGCATGCCTTCTTATGATACCCAGTTGGACATTAGATGTTGTTAGCATGCATTTAATTTGATCTCTCTCACTTACTGCACTTCATCCATCTTTCTCTTCTGCCACTAACATCAAGTGAACCATTGCATCGACACAGGCAACCTAATTTGGAATCGGCATGTTCAGTTTTCCGGCTTCTTGATAATGCATTCACACACAAGGTCTGGCATTTCATTAGAAAAAGAGACCGTGCTAGAGATTTTTCTCCATAAGGATTAGCTTTTGGTTCACTCTAATAGGTTCAAGATACTTAATACTCTTTTTTTTAAGAGTCCAGTAAAATGGCTAAGAAAGACAATAAATTTAGTAAGAAAAACAGTAACTTGGCAACTGGAGGTGAAATGAGGCTCGGTGCTAGAGCATTGCATTAATCATGTGTAATAACGGATTTGCTCTAATGTGGCTGAAATACTTCCCCGTGTGGGTAACACGTCATAGTCACCAGGACACGACCCACTGGTGACATCTGATGGTTGCTTAGAATTGTAATGCACCCTGTCCATTAATGACAAATGGTCCACTGAACTACTTAAAAGGGCCTACATGGAATCTGTCCTCTCTTGGTTTAATCTCCAATAATACAAATTCACTAATCATTTCCATGCTCCTCTTTTCATTTCTAACCATTTTAACTTGTTCTGTGTCTCCTTTCCATGATGCCTGGAGGTCAAGTGATGAGTTAATGCCCAAATGGTCACAAAATTTGGAAAATGACTTATTCAGTGTTGTAACCCATTAATTGTTGGCAGGAGCCCCATGCCTAGAAATATATCAGCATTATAATTTATTTTCATTCTGATGAGATGTTGGACCACAAAATCTGGGCGTTTAATGACTAACTGATGTGGTTTCCTGAAGTCAAT